AAAATCGGCTGACATCCTTGGTCGTGTTGCCATCCTCTCGGCCTATGTTTTGCACGGATGGCATTCGCGAAATACTCAAGCAATGATCAGGATCCCGGAATAGCGGTAATGGATATAATTGCCCTTACATTACTCGTTATAAAGCTTTTTTTGAAGAAGACAGAACTTCACCACCACCCTAGTACAAAAACATCTCTTTTGACTTTTCCGTTTGCTTCTTCCCGAGAAGTTCAATTTTCTGTCATTTCGCCATATTGGGCATTGAAGCGTTTATATAAAACAGTGTAAACACAAACAGTTTTGGGACAGCTACTTTTACCTGTTAGTTTTGACATCCTGAGTGTAGATTAGGACGTATATCACGGTAGACACTAATGTTAGAAAACCCAATATGTAGTAAGTCGCCTGAAAGAACAGAACATCTACTCTATTTTTTTTTCTGCTCTGCCATGCCGATGATGCATGTCGGGTCGTGGAGGTGAAGCTCCTTTCATTCAAACATACGCTGTACACTCACCTTCGAGGATCCTTGGTCTGGCCATGTACGAGGTAAACGAGACGTGTGGCTTTTTTGCCACTTGAGAACGCAGCTAACAGGTAGCAACAGCGATATGCCATTTGGGGCTCCACCCGCAGGCAAAGCGCGCACACGTGTGACACGCCTCTGTACCAGCTATAAGCCTAGCCAAGTCAATCGCGCTACTTCTATGTGCCAGAAGAACTTAATTGTCAAACGTACATTTCACGCCAGCGAAGTCAGTCGTCTCGCGTCGCGGTCATTGCGCGGCGTGCGTTGATCGATTGAATGTGGATTCCTGTCAGATGATATTGACAATTAAGTTCTTCTGTAATAGAAGAACTTAATTGTCAATATCATCTGAAAGGAATCCACATTCAATCGCGCGCAATGACCGCGACGCGAGACGACTGACTTCGCTGGCGTGAAATGTACGTTTGACAATTAAGGTCTTGTCTTCTATGCGCTTCTCTCAGTTGTTCGGAGTATTGCTGTTCTTAAATCTCGGCCATAATCGTCGATGCCCTTTAAGTTGTTCGCTGCAGGACCTCAGCATCGGGCACATGCTGCACGTTGTGGACGTCAGGTAGAGACCGATACGACAACCACCTCTCAGCCTTATTTCCGAGCTTTTGCGAATAATGAACTGGCACATTTAACCAGCTGCAGACCCGCTCAGCTCGCAATTGGCCCGCTGACTCTCCATAAGGGCTGCAGCTTGTTTTTGATCGACTGCTCGCGGAAAGCCTTTCTGTACCACCGCTGGGATTCATAATTTTGGTTCAGAGCCGAAGCTGGTACGCACAAACCTCGTGACTGGCACACCCCGGCATGGCGGTGGGCGCGGTCGTTTGGCACATCATTACAGCCTCAAAACCGACCCTCTTCAACCTCGATAACCTTCTTAACACTCGCACGCCTTCTTGTTTCCAATCATCTAACCTCCTCAACCTTTTTCTGAGCTCCTACACTCTTCTTCGACAATGCACAACCTTCTCAGCAAAGCCTTTATGCTGAAAGGGATAAGGTAAGGTGTCAGAGCGGTACTGAGGGCATAACGGATAGCGCACTCTGCCGGAAAGCACGAGGTGCGAGTTCGAGTCCCGCCCAGGGTCAAGGCGTTTGCGACTCAGCATTCTTGTGATGAACCTCTCAGCGGAGCCCCTCTTTCAAAGAACGCCAATACCCCCCCCCCCCCTCTTCACCGACTGAATCATTACAACTGCACGGTGTGCTTGCTCTGGCTGTAATCACTAATGACTGACCTCCCATCCAAGAGATGATGAACACATTTCTCCTCCAAGAATTTTTGTGAACAGCGGACCAAGCTGAAAGAAGAAGAGGACTGTAATTTTGGGTATTCCTTCTCATTGTTGAGTTTGGCGAAAATGTACGAAATACCTGCGATGACGTCAGCAGCAAAGAGAAAAACAATGAACTCTCGCTTTCTTGTGCCCAAACTAGAACTATTTCGTTAGCGAAGTAAAGATGGCCGGCCTGAGCAAAGCCCTGAAAGCGATCAAATTCTACGAAAGTTGTTTGAAATTGTTATCAAGGATTAATGTTGCACCAAAAATATCCTACTGCGAAGAAGCGAGAAAATAACGATGGCCATTGTCCCATGGCGTCAAATAGTGGATAGAAGCCCGTAGAACAAGCAGAAATCAGCCCGTAAATGAGAATAAGCATCCTAAAAGTTTCAGTTAAGCCTGCGGCGAGGATACCCAGAGGAGTGCAAACGGTGCTCTTACCTGCACACAGCGCTGTATCTAAAGGATAAAGGGATGAAGCCTTCGCCTGATGAATCCTTTTTGGGATGTGGCACCTGCTCTGCTTCCCGTTAGAATCGTCGTGGCGCATTGAAGGGCGTGGGGCCCAATGCAATGACTTTGGGGGGGGGTTCGACCGATGTACAAAACAGTTATCCTCCTAGACGGATCCGGTAATAGTTTGCTGCTATCGCAGACTACAAGGCTTGATTGGATTGCGCGAGAACCAGTCCGGCTTTGATCCCCAGACCACATGGTAAGCTTCTCAGTTGCCGCTACACCACCTCCGCCGAAGTATTGAAAATCTCATCAAATCTAACACTGGTCGAAGGGACAAACATCCTTTCAGAGTCAGATAATTGGTGTCACTTGTCTGGCAAGGGAAGGAAGGTTAGTCGTTTGGAAGGAGATGTGAACGACTTTAGTCTTCCAATGTATCTTGGAAACTAAAGTGCTTTTAAGGGGCTTAGAAAAGGTGTAAAGCTTCCACCGTTGATGAATCCCTTTTTGAGACACGCCAGGTATTGCATCCGTAGTGGTTTTTTCTGAATGCTACACGGCCTGTGCAATGACATGCGAGGACTAAACGATGTACAGCTGCTCAGATTATCACAACGATTCAGACTGGAAGTGAAATGCATGGCACATTCTAGAAAGGGTTTGTTAATGTTCGTAGTGCCTGAGGGATTTCATACGGTTCACTGCACTATGCTTTTTTAAGCTGCATCGACGTACAAGTCAGTTTTTTGTCCTCCTGGACTGGCCTGATGCTAACCAATCAGGAATTCGAAATGAAAGGCTTACTTGATCCGGGAGATAATGGGATGGTATTGCATCCATTTGGCACAAAAACTTGGGAGTTTGCCATTACGGGTGATGAACTCCTCAAACACCCTCTGTGAGGCCTAGGAGTGGTAATGATTTTCGCGCAAAGGTACAGGTCTTCCGTCAACCGATCCGCTCTTGCTGCAAGGGTCCGAAGGTATTTTCTCATCCCATCTTCTGGCCGAACATTTGGAGAAAGAAAAACAAGGAAGTGGGAAAAGTGGAGGAAGGCAGGGAAAGAATTAAGAAGAAAAAAGGGTTATGTGACAAGTGAATCGTATTCACCGCGCGGTGGACGTCGCGTCCGCAAATGACGATGGTTCCAGGTAGTAGATGGCGACAACAGGCAATTCAGAACCGAAAATAGTCATGAATGTCTACGGGTCTACATGAAGTCCGGTGCTCTAATCGACAGGTTAACACGAGTTAAGAAACGCCGCGGTCATCGCCGCGCGGCAGAGCGGCAAATTTCGGTTTCTCTTGTCCGTCTCCCGAAAAAAGGGAGGAGAAGAGAGGTACTGACAACTGACAGTTATTCTGGGACCTCGCGCTGAGATGGTACATGACCCCTTTTATCGACTCAAATTTTTCAGGCAAAATTCTGTGTGTCAAAGCGTTTCAATTAAAAAAATCATTAAATGTCTGCGTCTCGAGGACTTTCGAAGATGAATACTGCTTACGTGCACTTTAGAGACGTTTAAGGGCCAGAAACCGTGATTATTCGCCATCTCATATGGTGGGGCTCCCATATAGACGACAAGGGGTTGAGTAACTCGACTGTAACAAAAAAGCACAAAAAACATGCCACCTGCCCTAGATAGAACCCCATTTCGATCCCAGTTTGTACGTGCCCAATCAACTCTATCTCCAAAACTACGCCCTCATATGCACGGCTGATTCACCGATAAGATTTCTACGATCGTACAAGTGGCGATTATCATGCTTTTTCGTCCTGCAATCTCATTTTTCACTGGAAGTCGGTCATTAGGGGCGGAGTCTGGAGGCGGAGTCACTGGAAAAAGGAGGAGCCACTGAACCTATATTGCGCTACAGCGCCCCTCCCATAGAATTTTTTGCCGCGAAACCGGTACAAGGTTGTTCGTCGCGGACCACTCTAACCTCCTGACGCCATATTTTCAACTTCGATACCTGATCGCGGACCGTGCCTTTAAAGTGAATTTCTTGGAAGACTACTGACCTGGTGTCATATCTGTAAGCCCAGTGCAGAGGAATCGGTCCAAGGCACATTCCAACAGCAGTCGCTGTGAACATCCATGCTTTTGCTACAGGTTGTGTAAGAAAGTAGTCTGAAAAGAGAGTAGCGGGTTATTCCGCGGGGAAAAAGACAGTTCGGGAAAAACAGATTGACGGGAGGGGGCTTTATTCGAGGTCACCGTGAGAAAACAGCGTCCCCGGTGAAGCGGGACCTCTTTTCGCGCACAGAAATTATTTCACCCACTCCAAAGAATCTCT